AAAAATTTCCTCAACGAAATTCTTAGCGCGTTTCTCTGTGCAGAGCGAGAGTAGGTTTATAACCTCCAAATGCCTTTTAAAATTGAGCAAATATCAAAATATGATAAATATGTGCGCGGTTCGACATACATGTTACTAGTGTTAGAGTAATTCTGCTGGCCCACTCCAACCTGTGGCCCACGTCTGTCCACTTTACTATTTGTACATTTAGATTTAGATTTGTATATTTACATTTTTCGGATATACGTCAAATATAATACAACAATGGCATTAAATATATATTTTGATTGCAATGTATTTATTGCAAGACTAAAATACTTTTCGAATAATTCTAATTGGATATCTCCATTTTCTCAAATACTGTCATTTTTTGCCTTATATGTCCAGAATGGCTGGACCTATCATTGCTCGAAAGTACGAATACAAATAGTCAATACGAATTGAATGTCTTTTGGATCAATCTAATCGAATGCTCTGTTCTTTTAAAAACTGCCATTATTTGCACTTGTCTCCCCATCACGAAAATTTGTCTGCGCACATGTATTCATACATTCATACATCCAATTTTTCTAAGGTAGGGTAGAGAAGAGATTAAAGGTCTACCACCAATAACTTAAAATCAAGTAAAGTTAGAATTTTTTTAGCAATCAGTATTTGCCTTAAATTCATCAAGGAAATCTATAACAAAAGTATTCTCTGTGGTTGTTACTTTTTTTGGTTGTGGGCACTTATTAAATTATTTTATAATATGTATTGTCGATTCTATGTTAAATTCAACATATGCTTTTATATAACCTCTATAACAACTCTGATTGGACTAAAAAAGACCAATTGAACCTTTACCCTGTTTTTTTTATAAAAATAAAAATTTACCAAAATAAAAATAGAGTAACCAACCCCTAACACTTGCTTTCAATCGAAATTTGCAAAAACCTACTCGAGGATATACCTAACAGTTTCCAAATTTTCACGCCGATTGAATGTATGGTTTGTAAAAAATGATATAATTACTATAATAAGTATTACAAAATCGAAATTATTCTATACTTTACGTATTTTTCTATTTTTATAAAACTATACATAATTTTTATATATGAAATTTTATGATTTATGAAAAAATAAAATAAAAAATGACTGAAAATATAAACATAAGTCTTCAGGGCATCCAACCCCTACCAACTGGTTTAGATCAGAATATGCGATAACCTGTCCTGAGATGTATCTAATATTTTCCGAATTTTTACGCCGATTGGATGTATTGATTATAAAAAACTATGTAATTATTCTAGTCATTCTTAAATGAGGTTATTTTAGGGTTATTTTTGCTTCTTATATACGTAGTATCGTAGTATTTAAATGTTAAAAAAATTAAAATTGACCAAAGAATATATAAAAGTCTTTGGGTCGGCCAAGCGTTACTATTTTTAATTTAATCAAATTTTCCGAAAACCTGATCGGGGATGTAACTAACAGTTGCCGAAATTTTCACGGCAATTGGACGTACGGTTTATGAACATTTACACACACACAGCAGCCATGCAGTCACTGCTTTTTTCTATATGCATTCAATATTATATAACAATCAAAGTTATTACAGAACTCTACAAGTTATATGGCTAAATTAACAATAATAAAAAAAAATAATAATCACAGAAAGAAATAAAAAAGAAAAAAAAATGAATTACAAATGAAGAAAAATAAATAAATAAAATAAATTATTGATTATTAAGGAGATGGACCATTGTTGCATTAGGAAAATCGTACATTTTAGCATGATGTTTAGTACTGGTATTTTTGATGACATCCACTTCAAAAGGGATGTTGAGGTTATCATGTATAACTTGTTGCTAACAAACCATGGCGCATTAGTAATTGTCCGTAGTGTTTTAAATTGTAATCGTTGAATAAGTCTCACATTTGATTTACTCAACATTCCCACAGTTAGATTCCATATGCTCATACAGGTTTAATTATGGTCTTATAAATTAGAAACTCATTATCTAACGATAATTTTGATTTTTGACCGATAAGTCAATTTAAATTTGAAAGTGTAAGTTTAATTTGTTTTATTTAGGTTAATCTGCGATCCATGTGAATACCCAAGTATTTGACAGACAACTTTGATTCGTATTTGTTTTTCATGTACACAGCTTGATAAGTTGACTTATTAAGCGTGAAGGTAATATAAATTCACTTCGTATCAACAATTTTGATGCGCCATTTATCTGTCCCGGTTACTATTTATTGAGATGATTTTGTAGGATATTAGAAGCAAGAGTAGGATTTTTATTACTAGTGTAGGTGAGGTACGAAAAGGGACCCTGAACACTCCCTTGCGGAACGCCTGATTTTATGGGAAAAAGTGTTTGAGTCACAATTGTTTCTAACTTGATACCATCTGTTAGTTAAGTACGATTCCAAAATTTCATGAAGTCAAGGCAGTAGCAACCATTTAATTTTTGCTAAAAGGCCTTCATACCATACTTTATCGAAAGCGTGGCTTACATCGAGAAACACTGCTGAGTAATATTGTTTAGATTCGAAAGCTTTGTGAATTGAATTCACAATTCTGTGGCACTGCTGAATCGTAGAATGCAGCTTGCGAAATCCAAATTGATGATCAGGTAATATACTACATTCGGATACTATATTTTCAAGCAGTAGTTTTTCAAAAACCTTCGACAGCCTGGGGAAAGGACCAATTGGCCTGTAGAACGTAACCATACTTGTATATTTTCCGTTTTTGCGTATCATTTTAATAACGGATATTTTAAAAGACTTAGGCCAGTACTCCAATTTTAGCATTGAATTAAATATGTAAGTTATGAAAATGTACGCTTTAATTGATAATTTTTTTAACATTTTGGATGAAATATTATCAATCCCAGGAGATTTTCTACTATCAAGTTTAGCAATTTCTGAAATAATCTTCTTCCGAGAGCAAAATCTTTTCTTAAAGTTGACAGAAGTATGTGGTGAGAGAGGCTGAGAATACAAGTTAAATATATTAGATTCAGCTGCATGCGGTTGAAAAACTGAACTAAGATACTCAGCAAAAAGTTCTGCTTTTTTCTTGTTATCTCTTGCCGACTTTTTCTTGTTATCTGATACACGGCTTATTACGCCGTGAGCGCGCTTTCATCATCGTTCGACTTGGCGCTGTGAGTGTCAAATAAGTACGCTCGTAGCATCATCGTAGCATGTTCGTAGCACATATTTTGCGCTCATACGTGATCCCGCCGCGGAGGTAAGGCACTTGAAAGTGTCATGCCCGTTTATCAAAACGAATGCATGGAATGCATAATCTAATCCTAATTTCATTCATTCATAGTTCAATTCTTAGTTCAATAAGCACGCAAAAATGGCGAGCTGTGCATTACAATTATTTTTTAATATTAATATTAATATTAATTAATTTTAAATTAATTAATTTTAATAATTTTAAATTCTAATTTTAATATTACTATTAATTAAGCCTAAGCTAACTAAATTTCATTTATTTATTAATTGGTAAACTCTTTATAATCCCGCAAAATGCCAAAGTGTATATCACAATTATTTTTTATGTCAATATTAATATTAATTAATTTTAAATTTTTTAATTTTAAATTTAAATTTTAATATTAATATGAATTAAGCACAAGCAAACCAAATTTCATTTATTTATCAATTGTTAAATTCTTTATAATCTCGCTGAATGATCCAGAAAGTAATAAAATTTACACAATTACCGTTACCGCCAGTTGCAGCCATTTTGATGCTTATTGACGCTCACAGTATCCAAAACGACGGAATTTAGTTATCGATTCTAAGCTTTTATCGGCCAAGTCGAACGCTAAAAATTTTGTGCTTATAAGCGTGAGCGCTCACAGCGAGAAATTTTGCTGCCTATAAGCGCAGAATAGTGCGTTGCAGTTGCAGTTGCGATATAATAAGTGATGCGCTTTAGCTCGACATGTCTTGATCTTTGTTCAGGACTATGTAGATGACAGCCAACTTCTATTGGCTGAAAATTTTCAATTCGTATTTTCTCGAGAAAACAAACTTTTTCGGAAAGTTCCGAATTACTATTACTATTAATTAAATAGTAATAGTAAATTATATTTTGTCGACGACTCAGACATAAGCAGATTTCGCGCTGCGATCACTGGGGAATCGCTTTGAGAATTGGTTCGAACAGATGGAATCAAGTGACATTCAAGAATTGCTTGAATTACAAGATGAATAATTGGCTGAAACAGGCTTTAAGAATTTGTTGAATTCAGAGCCCATTGATAAAAGAGTTTTCCATGCGAGCGTTGAAATCTGACATATAATTCAAATAATTTTAAAAACAGTTTGAGAATGCTTTTGCGATTTTTTTATTAAACATTCATTTGTTTATGAATCGCAAAAAACTAAAATTAATTTCTTTGCAGATTTTTACGTTTCAAGACCTTCTGAATATGCCTTAGAAAGAATTGATCTATGATCCACGATCCATACATAATTCTATTCGTTGTATTTACATTTGCGGTATATTTGTGGAATACATCACTCTTGAATACAGAACTCGCACTGTGAATAAAAATTAATAAATAAAAAAAATGTTTCTTACAGATGCAAGCTCCTCTAATGAGGCAGTCCATTTGCAGCAGCGGCTACGAAGCCTTAGCACTGAACTTGTTACTTTACGCAACCGACTACACGTTGGTAATCCCGGCGCTGTGAGCTGCAAAGATGATTTATCAATGCCTCGCGCAACAACAGCTGGAACTGATTGTAAAGTAACTGATACTTCAGCCTGCACGACACAGACGAAAATCTCCCACAATGTTAACGGCGCCCAGGTTATTGCACCACCAAGTCTTCCTCATTCACAACGATCCGTTGTTGTGCAGAAACTGAGCTCTCATGGTATGAATAAAGTATAGAAAGTATATTATCGTTTTATTCACAAATAAGTACATAGAGCTAGAGGAATTTTTCATAAAATTTTAGTTACATGATTTTTCACTTTAAATGATTGAGTTAACCAACGATAATTTTATTTTCACTTTTATGGATAACAAAACATTATGTCATCTCAATTATATATTTTTGTAAACAATATTTTGTAAGATATTTTTATAGAGATGAAAATACGTAATTATAAATTAAACACTAAATTAAATAGATGAATCATTGCGTCAATCCTAAAATGTATGGTATTTTACCAGCATATTTTTCAAGTCTGAACACTGTTCTTCCGTCTGCTACTGGGCGTACTACCAAGTACACCAAGGTGTCGGGTCACTACGGACTATCCATAGGGACTATCATATATTCTATTCATCACAATCATTCATTCGTTGCAGTCGTTATTGAGAATACGTCGTAGAAAACAAAATCTACATTCAGTATACACTGTTGTGCACCCTAGTGCTAACAATAAATATGTTGAGATCCCAACACCGGTACCAAATGTTGTGGATTCGCCGTTGCCAACAATTATGTTGCGTCACGCCAACGATGTCAACATTTATAATTAGGTTCTTCTGCTGCTAACATCTAAGCCTTTATCACTGTGGAAAAATTTAATTAAACATTTGAAGACGTTTATTACCTTTATTTACTTCATTATTCGGTTACACTTGAGTACAACTTAATACACAATTAATATATTGAAGTGAAGACTGATGTGAAGTGATTGAAAACTAGACTAAGAATGAACGGTTGGTTTCGTCATCCTCAAGCTTTTATAACCTCTGATGATGACGCAACCATCCTTCTAGAAATGTTCGTTAGGAATGATTCATTCTTATTTATTTGAGACGCAAAACCTTACAAAAACCGTTGCTCTGACTCGCACGTGCGTCTTATCTTTGCATACAATGTTGCAAGGCTATGAGCTGTGAGTCAATAACGTATATACTGCGTCTTTCATATTGACTGTTATATAGAATTTATAATATTATTTATATTATTACAAAGGGGTGGATAGCACTACAACACATATAAAAACACGCATAGAACCGTACATTTCCCTATTTTCATGTCAAATAATTAACCCTTTCAACTCGAATGCCGCCGCACCGGCGACAAGATGCATAAAATTTTTGAAATGCCCGAGTGGAAAGGGTTAATTTTTTTTCAAAACGTAAACATTCGTTTGGGAAACGAAATAATATTTTTCATTTCACGAAGCTCAAATAACGTAAGTATTTTATTAGGACTACATATTAGTTTGTCTTACAATTCTTACATCATACATCAAATACCTAAGTTATATAATAGCATTATTATTTATTGATCATCATTGTCAGTTTTTGGCGACATTTCTATATTATCTATAGATGGCTGATAAAAATATAATAATAGATTTTCCCTATTGCTGATTTGAATTGAAACAAATTAAACTTCATAATAATAAAAAATCATACAGATGGATCAAAAGGCAAAGAACCAAACAATAAACAGACATCACCTGCATGCAATACTACGTCAAAATTTAACAATAATACTTCAGGCATGGTGGAACAAAATGGCAATAAAACAGGATCTTCATATGATTTAGAAGATCTTATACGTCTGCCTGGACCACTGACAGAAGACGACGCTGTTGAAATCATTACAAACACGCTTTGTAAACAAAAATGTTATGTAAGTACAAATATTTATTGTATGCACATATGACACCCAAATAAGTATACACACATGTATATATATATATAGATATATTGTATATATATATATATATATATACTAGCAAACCCGACGAACTCCGTTTCGCCACCAGATAGTTTCGTGAGAAAGAATGAAGAAATTTTTTGTTTGTTTTATATTTTAAAAGGAGAAATTTGATTTTATTATACAACAGTAACGAATTTTTTTGATTACAAAAATGAAGTGTTTTTTAGTTGAACTTCTCTAAGTAAATGAAAGTGAACCCGCAAATTATCCATTTATGGAAGTGATCTTTGGTAAACCACATTTTTTGTTTTTTGGTCTGACGTTAACACAAACAAAGCGGATGGTTTCCAACTTGTGAACAGGTAACGTATAACTGCCCATGTGAAAAACATGATTTTCTAAATAATCTATTTGAAATTTATCCCGCAAACACTAAGCAATTGGCCTTGCGACATGTTATTGCGAACGCAGGTCGAACTGAATATTGCCAATCGTTTGAAGTCAAACGGAAGACCAGTCAGAATCTTCGGTATGTCACCAAATCGCCAGCAATTCTTGCCGCAAAGAATAATGATCACTTAACCAAGCATAATTCTGATAATTCTCACTAATGTCATTACTCGAATTTTTAATTACGGTGCGTAAAGTTCCAGCAGCTTGCATTAAGGCACGACGCCATGCCACAACTAATTTTCTTAGCTATAAACCTTGCGGAGCCCGAGACCTTTCGACGAATGCAAAATTGTCGAAATCGGTTCGTGCGTTCTGGAGTTATTTTGTCAGGAGAGAAAAACCGGACTTATTTTTATATATATAAAAGATAATCTATTTGAAATTATTTAAAACAGT